TATATATAAAAATATCACATACTGTATATTATTTAACAAAACAAATAGAAAGTGTTTGTGAAGAATCCTGTTTTTCTTTAGACTATTCCTGCTATTTCAACTTTACCATGGTTTGCCATAATGTTACCCTTGCTCTTTCTGCTAATCATACGAGGAATTAAAGACCTTATTGATGATTTGGTAAGTAACAACCATTGTATTTAACCTTTCTATTTACCCTACTATTTGCAAACATATAATGCTATGGTTGAATACACTGTAATGAAAAGTTAGAATATGGATTGCAATGCACTGGCTGTTCATACAGTGACTTTACATTTTAAAATTCAACAGAATGTTACACATACAAGAGGATAAACAGAATAAGGTACAGAGTCCTCTAATAACTTTATTAGTACAATGTTTTTGAACTGCTAGTAAAGTAATCTCGCTGCTAGAGATTGTTCAAAGATTACTGATAAAGAAACTTGAAACCTTCCATCTGAGTTAAACTTCAGCAGGCATAATTATTTTCAGAAGAGCAGAGTGACATGGAATCATGAGAGAGATTGTGTAGAGAGAACGTTCTCTCTAAGTTAACCATGAAACAAGCACACACATATACATTTTCTTGTACTCTACACACTGTATATACAAGAATTTGAGGTGCAGAAACTTTCCAGCATTCCTTCTATGGTTAACATTCAAACATTTTAAACTAGAAAGAAATCCTCCTATCTCCTGATGGTATGGAAAAAACTGATTAACACAGGCCTCATTAAAAACCCCCAGCAAAATTGAGGTCTTATGAGAAGCTTTGCCCTTCTCAGATACATACAGAGGACATAATGGTGTTTTTGGGAATCAAATTAAAGGTCAGAGGTATTACAATTGCTAACATTCCCCACTCACTGTTATCTGGCACTTCTTTGAGTGCCCGGTGGCTGTGCATAGTAATACCTCATTGCCTCTTAAAATTCACATTATAGTGTCTGTAGTGTACTTTAGGCAGGGCTCCTGACATTACCCAACAGCCACTGAGGCTGCATACATGGTATAGTGGCCCATTTGGTCCACTGGATTCTGTTTTTTTTTTTTAAATTCTGGCCTTTTTTAAATGGGGATTAACCTCCTGGCCAGTGTTGTACTGTATATGCAGTTTTCCAGGTCACCGTAATGTTTTAAAGTTTTGGAAATTATTTCTAATTTCAAGTACCTGTACTGCTAATACTGCCATTTTGAACCTGAAATCTAACATTTAAGGGGCTTGCCTTCTGATTTAACCTGCTTGTCTTTTGATTTCTAATAGTTAAAGGTTTGTGTGTGTTCCAATAGAGGTGGCTATACAGCTGGGTCCTGCATTTCATAGGTGATGGTTTTTCAAAGACCTGCCACCTCCTGTTTTCTAATAACTTGTACAGCTGCTAACTAGAGAAAACACAAGAATACCACTGCAAACTGTCACATATCAATAATATATTTAAAGGAGTTGCCTTTTATAACGTTTAGAACATCTCATGCTTCCAAACAGAGGATGTCCTATATGCAGCATATTTAAGAAGCAGCCAATAATGGTTCAAAAGCTGCAAATAATGATGCAAAGTGGTCGCTATTGTCTAATTTCATAGTTTAATTTAGTAAACACAATATATATAACATTTTACCATCTTCAACATGTTTTGTTTCTTTGTTACCCTTTGGTTTATTCATTTTTGCAACTTACAAATTAGTTCACAGATGTTTAGGAAGTGCATCTAATATTACAACTAATACCATTTTTGTACAGGCCCGACACAAAAGTGACAAAGACATAAACAACCGACCATGTGAGATCCTTAAAGGAGAAAGGTAATTTTTTTTAATTTGACTTTTTTTTTTTTTTGAAAGGTCCTGCTCATCTATTGTATTTTCTAGCCTACTGGCATTTTTAGACATGTCTTTTAATAATATTTTATTGCTTAGATTTTATAATTTCTCATTCCTAAATTACAATTTGGCAGTGATAAGTGACATTTCATTAAGATCTAAGGGCACATGCTTATTTTATATTTTGCTGATCTATATTTACAGTTTCTTCTGGGAGAAATGGAAGGACATTCAGGTTGGAGATATTATTCGGCTGCATAAGGATGATTTTGTGCCAGTAAGTATAAATTTGCAAAATTCAATATGTCCCTCAAATTGGTGCATCAACTCTGTGAATCATTTCGAAATCCTGAGTTTACTTAATGAATACATTGTCAGAATGTTTATACTGCTCTAATAAACAGTTCTCTATTTATGAAAACAAGCAAGGATCTGTAATTAAGAAGATTCCCAACTTATTTCCACAAATCAAAATTTCGTTATTTGCGGTAACTTGAAGACAAGATGAATACAATAGTGTACCAAAATATATATATTTAATAATTAAAAACAAAGAATAAGGATCAAATCATTTCAATCAATTTAATAACACAGGTAATGTGTAAATTATTACCACAGGATATTAATTCAAAATATAAAGGTAACCAAATAAAATAACTTTTTAAATGCAATGAGTATCTTATCAGTAGCTCACAGAATAAGGAAACAAAAGGTTCGGAATTGACACGTGACTTCTCCCAGCAAACAGATGTTTACAAACTCAAACTTTTAACAGCGCATGGGCAAAATTTGTCCCATCATGCACAGGGTTGGCTATAGCCCCAGACTATATTCGAAGTAAAGACAAATTTCCACCAATTGAATTAAATATACATCAAACTAGACCATTGACTGGAAGCTAAAATCAGCTCCACGGAGATTATACAAATGTATATATTTATCTCCCAAGATTGAAAGATATAATTTGTACTGCAGTTAAAATTATCTCAAATCAATCCAGATCCTACAAACTAAATGGTCTATTCGGATATAGATGTGGCTAATCAATTGCCTAATATAAAGATAGAAATTTATACTTTACCAGAAATACAAAATTAGTTGTCTGAAAGAAGTCAGCTGTCACAGTCCAGAAACAAGGGATGGTCAGGTTCTCTTTAGTTCAGTTCCCTTGGACAGCCATCCTCAGCTTCCGACCTGTACCCTTAGTATATATTTCCTTACTGTCTTTTCTTTGCTGGATCCCTCCTTGCTGGCTCTCCTCAACCTTTATACCCCGGAGAATGTCGGCGTGGTTTGGTCTTCCACGTGATTAATGACGTCAGAGTATATCAATTTACTACGTACCTCTTCCTCGCCATCACCACAAGGGGGCTCTATTGTTCTATGTAAAAGTTTAAGTAGTTTCATTTAATTATAATATCTAATAATTCTAATATTTTCAAAAGATCTAGTTGAAAGATAACCTCTGACCTAAGCTTTGGACAAACCCATAAATATAGTGAGGAGTAAAATCCCATGACAACTTCTGCCCGACTGACCATCTCATCGTCGATTTACAACCTTAAGAAAATCTAAGCCAGGGCACTTAACATTCTTTCTCAAAATACTTTTAAAGTGAGGTAATTACTTCAAGACACATTGGCTTTTCACCACCTAATTCTATGTACTTAAAAATATAAAACCCCCATATTAATAATACACACTAATATATTTCAATGGGTACACTCAAACAATATATAATGGATATAGTTTGGATATTATAAAAGTACATGTATAAAATTTTACTTGAAATTAGTCAATTAATTAGGAGGACCTGGATAAAATAGGGGAGTGGGCATTAATGTGGCAGATGAGGTTTAATGTCGATAAATGCAAAGTAATGCACTTTGGAATTAAAAATAAACAAATGGGTTATACAATTATGGGTATGCCGCTGGGGAAGTCAGAAATGGAGAAGGATTTGGGGGTCATTGTAGACCAAAACTGAAAGGTAGTTTGCATTGCAAAGGCTGCTGTAAACAAAGCTAGCAGTATCTTGTCCTGTATTAAAAAGGGGATGTATTGCAGGGACAAGTCTATAATTTTGCCACTTTATAGATCATTGGTTCGACCTCATCTGGAGTACGCGGTCCAGTTCTGGTCACCAGTACTAAGAAAAGATGTCCTTGAGTTGGAAAAAGTCCAGCGCAGGGCAACCAAACTAATTAGGGGTATGGAGGACCAGAGCTACGAGACAAGGCTACTAAATTTAAACATGTTCACATTGGAGGTGAGGAGATTAAGGGGGGATATGATCTCCATGTACAAAATCTTCAATGGTGGTAGCAACATTAGCGATAAACTGTTTAAAATGAACTCCATTACAAAAACTAGAGGCCACCACCTAAAATTGGTGGAAAAAAAAATCCAGCACAAGGGGCGAAGGGGGTTCTTCACAGTAAGATCAGTTAGGGTCTGGAACTCACTGCCACAGGCGGTGATTTCAGCAAATAATGTGGAATTGTTCAAGAAACTTTTGGACGATTTCTTAAGGGACCGTAATATACAGGGGTACAGGTACTCCTAAAATGAGATCCTAATAGGTTGGACTTGATGGACTAATGTCTTTATTCAACCTCAAATACTATGTAACTATGTAACTATATATAGATGCTGCATATAATATAATAATATAATAACATTATTGCTAATATTATCACTGCAATGAATAGTAATGTTTCATCAGGCAACTTTTAAATAAGCCCCTTTCCCTATTCATTGAGAGAGAGAAAAAAAAAAACTTTGAACATTCCAGTCTCTTGTACATTGTCTTCAGTAGAGGCATGAAAGTCATCAATCTCATCCATAGGCTGGCAGCATCCTTATCTTTGGTACTTGTCTGAGACCCCCACAATTTACGACCGGAGAACGTTTATGCTAAGATTCTTAAACTTTTCTGTGAGAGTCTTTGTCTAAGAAGCATGAACTGGCATTCACCTTTTTAGCAAGCAGACAAAATGGCTACCATGATGTCCATATACAGATCTGTAAAATAATATGTATAGGCCTTTAAAATTTATTCCTTTCTGCCCAATTGTTCTGACAACATCTCCTGTAAGTAGGGGTATTTGGTAAGAGCTTGCTGATAGCTTAAAGGAAAGGTGTACTAAGAGAAACAAATAGTGTGCCATTGCATCTCCAAATACATGTTCGTTAGTTGTCTTTATCTTTGTTACTTAGTTGAGCTGAATCCTGAACCGAGTCCAGAAGATGTGGATCAGAAGCCCTGTATGGCCACAGAGTCTCCCACATAGAGCTAATGATTCTGGATATATTATGAAGAGTCTTGTTGACGCAATGGCTTCAAGTACCATTTAAATAGCACCTTATAAGTACACATGAAAGTTTTAAAAGCATACTGCCATAATAAATCCCAGGTGTCAGCGGATGGGGAAAGTTGAATCCCATGGAGAAAGGTCAGGAGGAAATGTGTCAGAACCCAAGATTAGAGGATGAGGCCCCTGTGCAGATAGAGGTAAACAGAAAAGCAGGGCCTAAAAGATTTGAAGAACAGGTGCTAAGCACAATTTTAGACCTGCAATTGAGACATAGGGGGTGATTTACTAACCTAAACACATGCACGCACCAGGTGCGTGTGATTTTCACACAGCAAAACGTATTTATCAACCAAAAAGTCTCTAAAAGCATATTTCCACTAATGCCATATATGGAAAAATCATGCACATGATGCATATATAATGCTGCTTCACAGTTTAGACAAAAATGGTTAGCTCATGCATTTACATTCCTGCATTCATCAATGCAAACAAGACAACATAGAGCTAATTTACACAACATCACCTTGCAGGGCTTTGCACAACACACCTGCTGGGTGTGTACACACTACAAAGGTGTTTAGATTCCACCCATAGATCATGCTGGGAGGGAACACACTACAGAGGTGTATACATGTTCATGGTGTGTTTATAAGGTTAGTAAATCAACCCCATAGTATTGCTAATCTTATAACCTTGAAAGGCAGCCACATTTTTCTAATGTTTTGTGAGGGTTCTGAAGTTGCATTCTTGAATTAGTTAGGGTCAACAGAATATCTTCAGAGAATTAGCAAGGTTTATATTCCTTAAATTTAACTAAAAGCCTTTGGACGTAGAGGTCCAATCGAATGGCAACCACCAGGGTATATTCGCTACCAGAGCTGTTTTTGAACCTGTATTAACCACTTCCGGGCCGCAATACGTCTATAGACGGCGGCCCTTTGAAGCAGCCGTGTTCTTGGTACCGCTCTTAACAGCAGGCGAGTGCTGTTAATTTACAAGCGATCCGGCGTCTGTACAGGCGCTGGATCGTTTGTACCGTGCGGCGGCGCCCCCCCTCCCCCTGCC